AGTTCTAACATGATAATATTGCATATGCATATGTCAAACTATCACTAATACGTTGTATGGGTTAGTATATTCACAGCGGTAGTGTCACAACCCAATCCGTTATGCCCCAATGCTATATAGGTCATACCATGTTAGGGCAAGACTGACCAAAAGATTTGGTTGAAGATGCACTGAAACAAAACTTTCAAAGTATAGATTATACATGCCACTACTAAATACAATAAAAAATGGAAGACTATATCTGAAAATGATTTTTTCTATATATCATTCAAAATACATACAATATGATATATCTACAATAGCACTTGGCAATATATAACATAACCAAATAAATGTCAAGCCTGCAAAAATAAAACTAATCAAGCCAAAAGGCATACCTACAACACATAATGGAGCATGTTATCCAAATTACTCAGCTCACTCCTTATCATTCCCCTAGCATGAAAATAGAATAAAAAATAGGAGTAAGCTAACACAACTCAGTAGGCTATTGTAGCTAAAAATAATAATAATTAAAATCAAAATAACTGAGAATATTGTGTTGTAAAAATAAACTAAAGTAATATATGAAAAGTTGGAATTGAAGCATATACTAAAATTGAACCCATTTAAGCAAATGCTAAAACTAATGAGTTATGAGTAAATATTTCATAATGATTATAAAAAATGACTTTCAAGCCCAAATTTTTATATATTTTCGTTACCAGAATTTCACCTCGGTAACCCACTGGCTCGGATATAACAGAATCTCACCTCGGTTGCACATTGGCTCCGGCATAATAGAATCTCATCTCAGTCGCCATTGGTGCCAGCATAACAAAATCCCACCTTGGTTACCCACTAGCACTGAAAAAACATAATCTTACCTTAGTCGCTCACTGGCATCAACATAATATAATCCAATCTTGGTCGTCCCCTGACATTGACATAACATTATATCACCTCACATCACATTACATTTCTTTCATCATTATACATATATTTTTTATGCATATTATTAACGCATAATTTAACTCAATTCAGAAATTTTTAAAATACCTTAACGATGGGTAACAAGAGAAATTTCATAATTTAGAAATATAACTAATTTATGAGAGATTGTGTAAAATATTATTTTGAAGCTTTAATTAAAGAAAGTAGTATTTTTAGATGTCAAAGTAAATTTCTAAATAGAAAAAAAAAATTTATTATTTTACTTGGCAAAAAATTTAAAAAAAAAATACTCAAAATGTTTATAATCTCAATCTCTATAATATATAAAAAGTTATATAATTAAAGTTTTACCAAAATAAAATTATTCTCATTTTTCGGTAATGAAGATATAAATTTGATCGAAAAAAAATCTAAAATATTCAAATTGAAAACTAAAATAGAAAAAATGCAACATATTTTGAGACGAACAAAATTTTCAATTGGGCCGAAGGACAAAAACGGCTTTACACTCTCCAAATCCTAACTTTTCCTCTCTCTCTCTTTTTCTTCTCTTTTTTTGTCTTCAATGTTCCACGTAAAGGGAAATGAAAATCGAAATACAAGTTTATAATGATTAAAGATATTTATAATATAATAATAAAATGATATAAAAGTAACTATGCCATTTAATTCATTTTAAGTAAATATCTTCGAATGTGGGGATTAAAAAATATATATTTAAAAATATTCAAAAATTAATAAAACTTGTCTAGAATGTTTGTGTGAAATCAATTTGCAAAACATATCATACCTAACAGTCCCAAAACTTCAATATGTTGCAAAGTAAAATGTGGAGGTTATAACCGTTGGGAAAGTAAAAAATTGTGCTGCGATAGCCTAATTTTTTTGTAGTGGTACCAACATATACTTATTTTTTAAGGATTGTAATAATGCCAAAAAATTATGAAAAAATTAAAAAAATTAAAACACAATAATATATATGTTATGACAAAGATAATTTATAATTTAAACTTATAATAACTCATGAATAATTTTTTAACTATTATAGGTCCATTTATATCTTTTAAAACTTTTGATTTATAATGATTCACCCACCTTAAAAAAGATGTCATCCTCGACATTCTCAGACCAAAATAAATCAGAGTAAATCTGAATAAAGTTGTCTCATCTAAGATTCATTCTCCCAAGTAGCATCTCTGGCGATTCTATGATTCCACCATAACTTGCCCATAATAATATGTTTACTTCTCAATTTCTTGACATAGTACCCCAGCATCATATCTGGCTCTTCGCTATAGTATATGTTTGGTTGAATTTCAACATCATCAATAGATAATATCTTTTCAAAATTAGATACTCACTTCCTCAAAGAAGATACATGAAATATATTGTGTATATCTGATATATAATCAAGCAATAATAATGTGTAAGCAGAACCATCAATTATCTCAATAATTTCAAAAGGTCCAATATACCATGAACTCAACTTATCAATGCTTCTAAATATATTGACAACTTTCATATGGCTGATATTGACATAAATAAAATCGCCAATCTAAAACTCAAACAATCTTTACTTTTGATCATAATACTTCTTATGTCTATCCGGTGAAATTTTCAATCTTTCTTTGTTTAGATGAATCTTTTTATTATAGTATCATCTACAAAAGATGATCCTATCACTTATATGTCACCCATCTTTATAAAAGATAAAGGGGTTCTGCACTTCTTATCGTGCAGTACTTCGTAAGGATCCATACTTATGCTGGATCCTCCCAACTCCCGCCAAAGTCCAAAACAAAGAGTCTCAAAAGATCCTCCAATACCTAAATAGTCCTTTCGGGCTATCCATCTATCTACCGATGAATACCATACTGAAGTGTAGTTTAGTAACTAGTCCCCGCTAAATACATCTCCATAATTTGGAGGTAAACCAAGTATCACAATCATATACAATAACCTTCAGCACAATGCAATATGAAAATATCTCTAACATATATCTATACTAACCTATCAACCAAATCAGCCTGTTAGATCAAAATGAAATGTGTCAACTTCGTTAAGTGATCAACAATAATCCAAATGGCATCATACCCCTGTCTTGATCTGAAAAAACCCATAGAAAAGTCCATTATCACCTCCCCTCATTTTTTCTTAGGGATAGATAACGATTGCAAAAGACCGTCTAGTCGTTGATGCCCTATCTGTAATATCAAAAATCTGCTCCAGGATCGTCCAGGAGTGCGAGCGGGGTCCGTCCCGGATCGGGTCGGGTCGTGACACTATCTTCAATAACTAACATGCCTCACTTTTTGAAATAAATTTTGTGGCGTCCTTCTTCAATCCAGGCCACCAGAATATATCATTTAAATCTTTGTACATTTTGCTTCTTCGTGGATGAATAATATAGCCCGAATAATGTGCCACCATGTAGGATCTCATATCTTAGTCCACTAATAGAAGGAACAAATATATCATTATAGAAAATAACTCCATAATCAGATAGTAAAAGTTCATATCTCTTACCAACCTTAATCTAATCACTCAACTTTAGATACTATGTATTAGACTTATGAGCTTCTAAATTATTTCCTATATAGTAGGCTAAATAATCATATGAGCTTACAAACTCAGATTTGTATTAACATATGCTACCTCTATCTCCAGCTTCTCCAAATCTCGAATAAAAAATTCTATAGAAGTAAGAACCAAAAGAAAAAGTACCTGATAACTTCCTACTAAATGCATCCATCACAAAATTTACCTTGCTAGGTTGATATTGGATAGATAGATCATAATTCTTGATCAGCTCTAACCACATTCTGTCTCAAATTCAAATCATTTTGAGTAAAAATATATTTCAAACCCTTATGATTAATAAAGATCTTGTGTTTTATTCTACATAAATAATGCCTCTAAATTTTCAAAGCAAATACAACAACCGTTAATTCCAAATCATGTGTCAAATATTTTCTCACATGTGATTTCTACTATCGAGATGCAAAAGTAATAACTATATTGTGTTGCATTAGTATGAATCCCCATCCTTTAAATGAAGCATCATTAAAAATATGTAGCCCATTCATACCTGAAATAATGGTCAGAATTAGAGCAGAATTTAAATAATCCTTTAGCATATAAAAACTACCTCACACTCTGGAGTCTAGATAAAAGATATTGACTTCTGAGTTAGTCTCATTAATGACAAAAGAATCCAAGAAAATCCATTAATAAACTTTTGATAATAACCAACCAATCCTAAGAAACTACGAATCTCAGAAGCTATCATCAGTCTCGGCTAATCGAAAGCAGCCTGACCCTTTTGGGGATCTACTGCAATACATATAATGCTCATTACATGCCCTAGAGAGAAAATGCTAGTCAACCAAAACTCACACTTGGAGAACTTAATATATAACTCTTGCTGCCTCAAAATCTCTAGAGCAGACCTCAAATGTATTGCATGCTCCTTCTCAGATCTATAATAATGCTTTGAGTTTTGAGGGAAAATATAACTAATCCTATAAGCACATGAAGATAAAACCTCAAAGATGATTTGTTTTTCTTGGAATATGTGATTGTGCAATATGATTGGCCAATGTGTAAGTTTTTACATTTGATATTTATTTATGTTTTTATTTTTGTTTAGATACTATCAAAATGTTCGGTGTTCATTTATTTTGTATGCATATTTATGATTTTTTTTATTTTATGAAATATTCATGAAAGTTTGAGCTCATTTATATTAATATCTCTTGGGCTTTATAATTTTTTTAAGTATTTATTTATATATGATATAAATTTCTGTTATTTAAATTTTATATCTGAATATAATGTATTTTAATTTTATTATGAATGAAAATTTTGAAAAGAGATATTTCTTTTGGACATCAATTGTCTTAATAGAAAAAAAACTACATTGGTACATTGCTTTTTTTCTCCTTTGCTGAGAAGCTATGAAGTGTTAATGGCAAACTGAAAATTACGTGCAGAAAAATAGAATGTATTATGCACTAACGCGCTCTCAATATTACAGCTGTTAAAAAGGAGCAGTCCGTTTTTCTTTCTATCTCCAAAAGCAGCAAAGACCACCGCTTCTGTCTCCGTCCCTCTCGCCTTCTACCGAGAGAAACTTTTCCCCCATTCCATTTGATCCGTAACCCTTGCATCTCACCAGATTCTCTCTCTCTCTCTTCTCTTCTCCCCTTCGACATTCCCCTTCCGAAGGACCAAACGAACTCCTCAGTAAAATTTTCTGAGCCAGTGTAACGCGTATTGAAAGGGAGTGTGAGGAACAGAGGAAGAAGAGGCAAATGAGGAAGGACTGCGGCGGCGGAGCCGCCATGACGGCGTCCACCTCACCGCTTTCCTTCCCCTGCGTTGATGCCAAGCCCTTCGTCGCCACCCTCGTCGCCTTATCGCTCGTCATGGCCATTTGGCAGCTCCAACCCTACGAATACCTCCTTTCTTCCTCTTCCTGTACTCTGCCCCCAAAATTCCCTTCCTCCTCTTCCCCTTACCTCAAGCAAAAAATCGCATCTTTCTCTGCTTCAATATCCTCGACTCCCCAAACCAACTCCTCCTCCTCCTCCTCTTCCCCTTCTCTTAAGCAAAAAATGGAATCTTTTTCTTCTACCAACACCTCAATCCCGCGCGTCAGCCCTCGCTCCAGCCTTAACACCGACCCCAATCTGCGCACCTTCCGTTCCTACGGCAGCGCAGCTTCCCTCTTCGTCTTGATGGGTGCTTACCGCGGCGGCCCCACCACTTTCGCCATTGTCGGCCTCGCCTCCAAACCCACCCATGTCTTCGGTAAGCCTTGGTTCAAATGCGAGTGGGTTCCCAACTCCAGCTCCTCATCCGCCATCCGAACCAAAGCCTACAAGATCCTCCCAGACTGGGGCTACGGCCGCGTCTACACCGTTGTCGTCGTCAACTGCACTTTCTCTATCGTCCCCAACGCCGACAACGCCGGCGGAAAACTCTTTGTTAACGCCTACTATTCTCCCTCTCCCCGCCGATACGAGAAATTCCTTGCACTCGAAGAATCGCCCGGCTCCTACAACAAATCCCTTTTCAATCCTCCCTACAAGTACGACTATCTCTACTGCGGCTCATCTCTGTATGGAGACTTAAGCTCGAGCAGGATTCGGGAATGGTTAGCTTACCACGCGCACTTCTTCGGTCCAAAATCGCATTTTGTTTTCCATGACGCCGGCGGAGTGAGCCCGGCGGTTAGGGCGGTGCTTGACCCGTGGGTGAAGCTTGGGAGGGCGACGGTGCAGGATATTAGAGCACAGGCTGAGTATGATGGGTATTATTATAATCAGTTCTTGGTTGTGAATGATTGTCTTCATAGGTATCGGCATGCGGCGAATTGGACTTTTTACTTTGATGTGGATGAGTATATTTATTTGCCGGATGGGAGGACACTGGAGAAAGTGCTTGGTGATCTTTCAAAATATACGCAGTTTACCATAGAGCAGAATCCTATGTCGAGTGCTCTCTGTGTGAAGGATCCCAATGAGGATTATTCCAGGTGAGATGAGATCTTATTTTCCTTCATTTGGTTGCTCTATTTTTTTTTTTTTATTAGTTTGACTTGGTTTGATTTAAAAACTTATGGGCTGATTTGGCTACTTGAAATAAAAAATATGTTTCAGAAAATGATGAATTTGTTTTAACTCAAAATATTACATCAAATAGAACTTTTGAAGGAGTTTTGAGAAGATTTGTGCAGTTTTAAATCATTATTTCTGTGTAAGTACATCCAAAAAAATGATAGATTTAAGAAATTTCTTCTTTTTAAAAGATTTTTCTAACTTCAAGCAACCAAATGAGGCCTAAAAAGATTTGTGAATTTGGCTTTTGGGTTGACATCGTGGCTTTGGGGGCACTTGAGATCTGTAAAAGTTGGCTGTTTTGATTTCCCAGGTTCTTAGCAATTGAGATGCAGTGTTTGGATCTTAGAAGCTTCAGTATTTTTTTTGAAGAGTTTAGTTGGTTATTATGCATATATCGCTCAAGCAGACATTGGTAGTTTCACCAGTGTATCATTTGAATCATATGTGATTCTGGTGAATTCTAACTTTTTTGTTGAATCTGTGCTCACTGATTTGCTTTAGACATGGATGTTCTTACTAGACTGTTTGAAGAGGATGCACCCTGTGCATGTTTTTTGCTGCTGTTTTTCTTCTTGTTGATAAAACTAGAGAGGGAGTTGAAGGTAAACTTGAATTATGGATGTCAACCTTAGAGTCTAAAGGTTTTCGCTTGAGTAGATCTAAAATTGAATATATCGGGTGTAATTTTAGTGGTAATAGACCTAGTGAGGGGATTGTGACTTTTGGCGATCAAGTCATTAATAAGAGTACACATTTTAGATATCTTGGATCTATTCTTCATGGTGATGGTGAAATAGATGGGGATATTATCAGTTGAATTCAAGTTGGATGGTTGAAGTGGAGGAATGCATCGGGCCAGTTGTGTGAAAGAAAAACACCCCTCAAACTTAAGGGAAAATTCTATATGATGGTGGTGAAATTTGCAATGCTTTATGGCACCGTATGTTGTCCATTAAAAGAGAAGAATAAAATTAAGTTAGGTGTTGCATAGATGAGGATGCCCAGGTGGATGAGTGGCTTTACCCATAGAGATAGGATATAAAATGAGCATATACATGAAAAGGTTGGAGTAGTGCCAGTGGAAGATAAGATTAGAGAAAGTCGCCTAAGATGGTTTGGCTACATAAAATGGCGGCCTTTTGATGACCTGGCTAGGAAAGTAGACATTAGATTTGATTTATGTTAAGAAAGGTAGAGGTAGATCTAAAAAAATTTGGTTGGAAAATATTAGAAATGATATTTCTTTATTAGATTTAAACTAGAATTTGACTTTTAAAAGAGAAGCATAAAATTATGTTAAGTGTTGCAGAGATGAGGATGCTCCAATGGATGAGTGGCTTCACTCTTACAGACAAAATGCAAAACGAGATTATACATGATAATGTTGGAGTAGCTTATCATATACAGACAAAATCACTTTAGATGGTTTGGGCTCAGAAAACTTCGGCGTTTTGATGACCCGGTTAGTAGAGCAGATGTATTAGATTTGGCCTATGTTAAGAAAGTTAGAAGTAAGCCTAGAAAGACTTGGTTAGAAAATATTATAAATGACGTTTTTTATTAGATTTAAATGAGAATTTGACTTTTAATAGAACACAATGGAGAAAAAAAATTCATGTAGCCGACCTCAATAGTTGGATAAAGGCTTGATGTTGTTGTTATTGTGGTCACTGATTTGTTATAGACCACCCAGAATTTTGTATTAGAGATGCGGAAAAAAGGTTATCTTTGTTGCACTTTTTCTTTATTAACATCTTTTCATTGTTTCCTTGGTGACTTTTCTGCTTAAGCATATTGTAATGTTTACCACTTTACCATTGCAGCTAAGTTAAGAGTTACTGAAATGTTTAGCATTTCCTCTGAATCCTTCTGCTATTCTCAGGGAATGGGGATTTGAGAAGCTGGTATTCAGGAATTCGATCACGGGAGTGAGGAGAGATCGAAAATATGCGATCCAAGCGAAAAATGCATTTGCAACTGGAGTTCACATGTCAGAGAATGTCATTGGACCAACTACACACAAAACCGAATCCATAATTCGATACTATCACTATCATAACTCCATCAATGTCTTAGGGGAGCCATGTCGAGAATTCGTGCAAATGCCGGTCAAAGGCAATGTGACATGGTATGAGAAGATCCCATATGCTTATGATGACAACATGAAACGCTTGGCTGACAAGATCAAGAGATTTGAAGAGCTAACAATCGGTCATCTTCGTTCAAATGATACTCACACTGCTAAAACAACCTGAATTTAAAGCTTTCAACATTCTTTTGTTGTTGTTCTCATGGAAAAACTGGAAAATTTTCAATCTTCTTTACAGATTCAAGAATGAGGCTGTTAAACAAGAAGAATTAAAAGCCTGGGAAGCCCTGGTGACTATTGTTGTAGAGGTAAAGCTCTGGCCATCTTCTTTGATCTTGTTGTACATGATCTTCTTCAGCATATTTGTTCTTTTGAGAGTCTATGCTCCTCTTGTTCTTTACCTTCTTTGTTATATTAAGTTATACTGTTCTTTTTGATTAATCAAATTAGATCTTCTTTTGTATTGATGAAGATTATCTTTTGACCCTTTGGACTCTGATGAGTAAATAAGGTCCTTTTCTGTGATAAAATACAAAAGAATGGTTGCTAACAAATTTTCATTATTATTATATTTTTCCTTTAGGCTTCCTTTCCTAGCCTTTGCCTTAGTTGTCCCTGTGTGCTTTGTGGGTGCAATAATTATGACTGGCGTGGTGGTAGGTCCTTCATTGGGAGATGCCCTTGTCTACTTTCTTTTAGATGCTTGTGGCTTTAACTTTTTATTGGTAGATGGAGGACTATTTTGTATCAATATATAAAAATTTATTATATTTGTACCCTGTGTATAGCTCTGTCATTAAGATTTTGTTTGGGACGTCTTTCTTACTTCTTTTTAAAGTAATTTTTTATTATACAAATTAAAATTGTTATACTAAAAAGCATCTGGATGAAGCGGTAAGAAAGCTGTCCCAAACGAAACCTAAAAGACCTAAGGGGAGGTCAATGAGGGCAGCCTACCCTTTTATTAGACCTGTTACTGATCTGAACTTGATCAATTTGACTTTGTCTTAAGAATGGCTCAAACTCATTCAATCTAATATCAAGCGAAGCCGAGTATCGCTATAAAGATGGCTCGACCTGATCTCAATTCGAGCCAAAAATTGATGTGACCTCGATTAATCTTCGACATCTTAAAACAAATTTGTGCTCAAATGTGCTCAAATGTTGATACATTTCTATTTTATCTTGATCCAGCTTGATCCGAGTCAATTTGTGCTCAATTTAAGTTTGACTCAAAGTCTGACTTGACTTGTTATTCAGCTGGTTGACTTTCATTGAGCCAAAACTTTATTTGAATTTTCAACAATCTTTGCTCTTTTGGCAGAACTTAAAAGCTATGCTCTTTATATCTGTATGTTGGATTGTATGGCTCTGACCTCAACTGAGCAGGAAGCTGATTGCGTTTTTATGTTTTCAATGCAAGTGAGGGCTACATATCCCTCTCCTGCTAACATGTACTTGATGAATAATTGCAATTTGCATAGATGAAACTGCCTCTATGATGGTGAAATTATTAGGTGCGGACACCGAATGCCGTTCATAGCTCAATGAAAATATGCCATGTCAATCTCTATTCGGTACCGCAACTCGGTATTGGATGATGTGGCTGCACCTGATTTGCCTATGAACGATAAGCTATGTCCGGTGTCCGCACAGAATAATCTCTCCTACCTTGTGAGGATTAATTATTCTGAGCGAACGCCCGACGACGTCCATTGACCAACAGAATCCGTCATGTCATTTTTTTCTTTCGGTACCGCGGATCGGTACTGCTCAATACCGTTGCTCGGTACAGTTGACGTGATACATTCTGATTGGTCTCCTGGTAGCGTTCTATGTCCGGCCTCCGCACATAATAATTTCTCCCTTGTGGGGCTTGTCTATGGTCCTTTGCTTTGAATTTCTTTTGAAGGTATTAGCTTAGAATAAACTAATTAGCAAATAGAACCTCAGAGGATCCTTCCCCCTCAAGCCATGAGCTGTGCTTGGGCTGAAATTGTTGACCTCTTTGGTCTCTTTTCCGTTAGTTTCTCCTGTTTTTCTTCCTATTTAGTCAATTTCAGCAGCTCCTCATGCTCTTCTATTATTTTCGCTGTGTTGGGATTTGCTTTGGATTCTTTGTAGTTTACACAACGCATTGCCACCTGTGAGGGAAGTGTGTCAGGTAAGCATCGTACCCACATGCAATTTGCATGACCACAGGAAATTGTATTGTCCCTTTCTTCCACGCTGCTGTTTCCAGCCAGGAGATATTATTATCTCTCTCTCTGAATCATTAAACCACTGGAAAATTATGTGGCTATCAAAGCGTTTGCATGGGCATAGTTTTCCATTTTAAATGTACTCACCGACGACAAATTTATTAGAAGATAACGAGCTGATAAGTCTTGAATTATCAGATTAAACAAAAATAATAATAAATCATTAGTGTTGGATTATAGAGTTGGATAGGAATCAAGTTCGAGTTCGAATTCAATGAAGTTAAATGGCTTTGTTGAAATTTAACGGTTATTACTTTTTTATGGGAAAATTGAGGGCAGTGCTCAAATTTCATTAAAGAAAAAATAGTTTTATATGTGTAGGAAAAAAAAAAGCAGAGAAAATACAAAATTGTGGCAAAGAGCTAGAGGAAGTAGCTAGAGGGAGACCATCAAGCAGATGCAAAAAATACATATGTCAAAAAGAGAATATGCCAAAAAATCAAGCTAATCAGATAAAGCTCTTAGAAAAAAAGGCTAAGAAGAAAAATTAAAGCAGCCATGAACAACCCCAACATAAATTGAGGGGAACATAAACAAAGCATGCTCAGCTTAGTAAGATATACATCCTCAGAAGTCGAAAATCCTCCGGTTGCTAGAGATGCCATCAAATAAGAATTTGTTGCAAGAATCGCTATTCAGAGAGACAGCATGCAACCCGAACATCATCGCCCCCAATCCAAAAGAAGCACCCAGCAAAACACTGGCAAAAAGCAGATATACATGGCCAACATAACCACGTCCAGAAATAGCAAAAACCACACCGAGAGAAACTACATTAAGAGCTTTGAATTCCTCCCCATTCTTCCATCTAAGTAACTTAATTGCCACAACATTTTTAATCAATAATTGAATGGTCGAATAGCTTTTAAAATAATTGGTGAATTTCCTATCATTCCTCTCCTTCCAGGTATAGTAAATAGTGGCCCATAGAACCATCAAGTAAAATGCCAATCTGCCAGTTCCTGAACTGCTCCAACCTTGAGCTTGTCTCAATAGAAAGATGTTGAGAGAAGGTATTAGATTAGTAATGGTACTAAAAGTGTAATCACACTCAAAGAATAGGTGTTATACACTTTCAAGACTTGAGTGACATAAAACACAACTAGGTTCCACGACAATGTTTCTTTTAAGTAATTCATCTGCAGTTTTCAACCCTCCATCAAAACAAAGCCATGCATAAGAAGAGAATCTTAATGTATAATGTTTATGCCATACAAAACTACACAAAGAGACATCTCTATCATATTTATAAAAATCTTGAATAAATTTCCCAAACCTTGGCTTACCCTCAGATCCCCAAAATAAACGGTTGCAGTTACCATCACGGATAATAGGATAGAGGCAATAAGATTTTGAATTTTAGAAGGGCAAGTATCCAGTCTACAGAGTCAAAGAGCATATCCAGAAGAGCATATCCAGAGGAGCATTTTCCGGAAAGAGCCTAGTTAATGCATGGTGATGATGGAGCTCTTATATACACAAACCAGTGCACCAGTGATCCCACTATAAAATAATGAGGGAATTATTAGTAACTTTGAAAATCAAATTAGGCTTAGCTCGAAAGGCAGAGATGCATATGCTTTTCCACATAGCCGAGGAGAGCGTGGGAAAAATTTTCCAGGGAGAACAATAATTAGAGAAAAATAAACTCGAAATATGGGATGCCCAATTGTAGATTCTAATAATTAGAAAGCAGTCAAAAGTATATCGAATAGCTTGAAAAGAAGGTAGACCCAAACCTCCCTTATTCTTTGGTTTACACATGTTAGCCCAGGATACTAGATGAAGCATTCTAGCCTTGATATCGCCAAAGAAAAGGAACTTAGCTGAGAGTTTAGCAATGTGTTTACAACAGGTTTTAGGTATAATAGCCCCACGAATCCAGTATGCAATAATATTCCGAATGGTGAAGCAGAGAAACTGAAGTCTGCCTGCAAAAGAGAGAGACTTTACTTTCCACCCGGAAAGCATGTTAGAAATATTATCAAGAAGGGTGGAGGATTGAGAGATGGGGGTTCTTTTGATAGATATTGGGATGCCCAAGTAAATGAAGCTCGTGTAGCAGTTATGTATTTGGAGGGAATCATAAATATCTTTAAGATAGGGGGTATTGGCTTACATAATAATGAAACTTTTTTCAGAATTAACTTTGAGGCCAGAGGAGCTAGCAAAGGTATGAAGAATATCATTCAACACTTGGCAATTAGCCACGGAAGTTTTCCCAAATACTAGCACATCATCAGCATAAAGAAGGTGCGAAATTTGAAGACCATTAATTTGCATTGGTTGAAAAGAACTTCCCTCCTCCATATTATCAAATAAACATGATAAAGCATCCATGGAAAAGCAAAGCAAATAAGAACTGAGGGGACACTTCTGTTGTAGTCTAATAGAGGAAGGGATAAAGCCCTCCAGGCCACCATCCATGCAAATAGAGAAATGCAGATTAGAAGTACTAGCCTTCACCTAATTAATGAATAGGGGGGATGCCCTTTTGAGCCATTCTTTGCAATAAAAATTCTATAGAGAGAGAATCAAAAGCCTTCTTGATATCCAACTTGGCACACATGTAAGAGCCTTTAGTGCACTTTTTAAAGATACCCGGTAATTCAGAGGCCAAAATAACATTATCCGTAGAAATACGATTACTAATGAAGCCAGCTTGAGCCTGATTAATAGTAAGAGGTATGATGCACTTGAGCCTAGAGGCAAGAATTTTGGATATTATCTTATACAGGGTATTGTAGAGAGAAATTGGCCTGAAGTTTGAAATAGAGTTAACATGAGAGCTCTTAGAAATCTGAAAAATTGTTGTAGCTTTTATACCTTTAGGCATGTACTCTTTATCGAAGAAGGACATAACTACTTTACAAAGAGGAGGGCCAAGAATCTGCCAACCCGACTTAAAAAAATAAAAATTAAAGCCATAAAGATTGGGAGATGAAGAAGAATCCCTAGAGAAGACAACAACTTTAATTTCAGCTTGGGTGATAGGATCGGTGAGGATGTATTGCATTGAGTGAGGAATAATGGTACCAACAGGGAAAAAAGAAATGTCAGGAATTGAAAGGTTAGGTGGATTAAAAAGGTTTTGAAAATGGGAAATAACCCCACCCTTAACATTATCAATGTTATCAGTATTGTCACTCATAGCAGAGTAAAGAGCAGAGATATTAAAGTTCTTCCCCATCCAAATTTTTTAGTAGAGAAATTTAAGGTCATCTTCCCCATCTTTTAGCCATTTGGCTTTGTCCCTCTGAGTGACCCAG